GGTAATGCAACCCCTATGGGTGGTTAAAGCAGTTTAGGCAGCGGGTGCAAAGAGGAGGCTTTTTAATGACAAAGCTAATGTGATTATGTGAGAGACCGAGAGAAGGGGGTATTGAAGGCTTAGGAGTGGGAAATCTGTTGCTGGAGATAAATGTATAAGCCTAATCCCATCTGAAAAGTAGAGAGAAGGTGCTTTGGGCAGCCTCTGCTGGTTTTGTCATAGTATAAATCTCTGCTCGGACATGCGTGTAGCTTATCTCGCACGCAGACTACCATCTCGGAAGAAAAGGTTAGCAACAACCTTCTCAAACCCACTTAAAGTCAGACATGACAGATATCATCCCGTGTTGCATGATAAAATAAATTCTACTATACCAGTTTAATGTGTAGCGATAACTATGAGTGAAATTGTGGTCACTTACCGTTGCGTGGCGAAATTATTTTGAAGTCATATCATTAGGAATTGGTGGGAGTTTCACATAAATACCTCACACTAAAATCACACACTTGCTTCCTCCTGAATAAGCATTAAGAGATTCATTAATGCTGGCTGCATCAGAACGCAAACTTGTTACTTTGTGGACTGATTTCATATGCTCTAAAACGTGTTTTGTTTTTCTATGCAAATTGTCTTTAAGTTCACTATGTTCAATATGTCAAGCGTCCATATTGTTGCAAGTTTCGCAAACGATTCACGTTGTTCAAGGGATTTTTTGTGTTTACCATTAAAAAGCTTATTACACACTATTGAGAACGGACTGCAGTGACTGTGAAATTTTGCAAATAAATTGCTAATGTGTTCGCACCTCAAGTCAACACTTTGGCGCTTATTGTTATTTTGAGTATTCTGACAAGTAAACATTGGCTGAACCAAAGGTATGCTAGAAGTGCAGTTTCATACTTCATCTGCGCAAAAACAGCTTCACCAAGCAACATCTCTATGACCAGAATTTTTGGTAACACTGTAGTATAGGGACCGATTTTCTTGCAATTCACTTGTTGCTTATTAGCATGTCTATTATTAACAAATTAGTACTTATAAAGCACATATTGCACATGACCATATTTTACATCCCTAATCCTACCTAATACCTAAACTTAACTACTACCTTACTAATTATTAATAAGCAGAAAATTAGGAGTTTATTGAGTCAAAAGTCGTAGTTAATGGTTTGTTAATAGTGAGAATTGGACCTTAAAATAAAAATTCTTTACGTGCAGGTATGGAAATGCAGACGTGAACAATTAGCGAACAGTACTTAATTTGGTGTTACCTTAGAATGTTTAAGCCAACAAATAAAATTTGTTATTATTCTGGTAACTAGCTTAATTATATAATTTAGAAAACATAAAAATTATTTACCATCTCAGTAGTTGAGACAGTTTGCTTTGAAGTCCCGATGAAACGAAAGTAGCAACAAATCTTTATTATTTTTTTTTTTTGTATTGTGACGAACATCTGAGTGTAATGGATTATTGAAAAAGAAGAAAAAATGTAGGTCGTTGACTTGGTTCTATCCATTGTTTAATTGGATTTGGAGTTGTTGGCATTGCACTCAAAAATGAATGTGAACTTGCAGTCGATTGTGAAGGGACAGGTTTAAACCAGAAAATTTTCTGACATGTATTTACAAATTAGATAAATTTCATTTCATGCCAACATTAAAGGGTTAGTTCACCCAAAAATGAAAATTAGCCTGTGTTTTACTCACCCTCAAAGCATCCTTGGTGTATATGACTTTCTTTTTTCAGACGAATCCAATCGGAGTTATATTAAAAATTGTTTTGGCCCCTCCAAGCCTTACAATGGGGATAAGTGGGTGCTTTTTGTCAACAGTTCAGAAGACGTGAAATAAAGTGCGCGCATCCGTAATAAAACGTGCCTCACACGGCTCCGGGGGGTGAATAAAGGCCTCCTGTAGCGAATCCATGCGTTTTTGTAAGAAAAATATCCATATTTCAAACGTAATAAACACTTTTTTTCTCACTTCCGCTGACTGTCGTACAAAATGGCTAATGACGTAGGACGTCAGCGATTAGTGACGAACGCGGAGAGAGAACAAAACAAAATGCCGGTCACGAATTAGAAGTACAAAACAAAGATTTGTAAAGAAAAATTATGGAGGATTTCGATATAAGCCAGGAGGAGACTGGTTTTCCTTCGCTAAAGTAAGGAAACTTCGTTTCCTTTGCTCCTGCATTTCTCAGAGGTGCGTGCACGACGCCAACATCCTACGTCATCCGCCAGAACGTCTTGCACGTATGACAGTCAGAGGAAGTGAGAAAAAATTGTTTATTACGTTTGAAATATGGATATTTATCTTACAAAAATGCATGGATTTGCTACAGGAGGCCTTTATTCACCCCCCGGAGCTGTGTGAGGCACGTTTTATTACGGATGCGCGCACTTTATTTCACGTCTTCTGGACTGTTGACAAAAAGCACCCGCTTATCCCCATTGTAAGGCTTGGAGGGGCCAGGACAATTTTTAATATAACTCCGATTGGATTCGTCGGAAAGAAGAAAGTCATATACACCTGGGCTGCGTTCCAGTTCACTTTTAGACACGCACTCGCAAACTTCCCTAAGCACTTACCCTTGGGGGAATCCCCGCCGCCATTTTGAACATACCCTCGACCCCTCGATTTTGACCGAGGGAGCGAGTCTGCTTCATATGCACACTTCAGGCTGCTCTGTAGACCACAATGCAACACGACTATGACATCATCGCAGAACGCGTTTAATTTATCCCCACCCCAAACTCTATAATATATAAATTATTTTTTTTACATTTATAACAGCCCAAGCATATCTGTATACATATAGAATGCTGCACCAAACAAATTCGTAAGGGAAAACATGTAAACAATAAACCAACTCCATAGAGGATTCTAAGTGATCAAGGGCTTAGGACGTTCCAGTTCAGCCCATTCCAAGGGTTCCACCAGTATTGGGCACTCATGCAACGTAATCAATGACGTACATCCGAGTAAATGAGACTGAGGGAAGTTAGCGAGTGAAGGGCATAAAAAAAAGTGAACTGGAACGCAGCCCTAGGATGCCTTGAGGGTGAGTACATCACAGGCTAATTTTTTTTTTTTGGGTGAACTAAGCCTTTAATTCTCTCTATAGTGCCCCTTGTGGCAGTACTGACATTGCAACAAATATTTGCATTACTGCATGACTGAGGTCCAATCCTATTTATGTGGAGCCATTTTCCATAGATAACTGCATAGCTTGATATGTTTGTCAATATTTCTTTGAAACATTCTTACTTTGTTCCAGCTTGACGGTGATAAATTCCACTCCAGCAGAATTCCATTCCACTCAATTTCACATGCAAATCGGATGTGCCTTTGTTATGCAATAAAGCAGAACCATTGTCATCTCTCTGAACATAAAGCCAGCTGTTTGCTCTGTGATTTACATGTGTTTTTCTGATTCTCAGGTGGTCTGCAAAAATCTTCATTTTAATACCGGCGTATCAGACAAACAGCTGTTGAATGGTATCTCTCAAGCCGTAAGGGTGTACTACAATTACACGGGAGATGCAGTCTGTCTCAACACCTCACAAACCGCTACTGGGAATCTGGGCTTCCTTGGTTGGTTCTACCAGGTAAGATATTAAAAAGTTTGACTCTATATGGTCACATTTATTAATATAAGTCATTGCACTCTGTTTTATTTTGATTCACATGTTGTTGAAGAATTATGATGCTGTTATTTTACATACATAGAAATAAATTATGGATGGAAGCAGTTGACAAAAATGACAAAGACTATGAGCGTTTTTTTATTCTTCCAAATTTCAAATGTCAAATGATAGGTATGACTTAAAAACTGACCAACATTGAAATTGTTATTGACAGAAAATTGCTTGGTCTTTGGTCTGTTAGGTCACACTTGTTCTGGTTTTCTTCACAAAGCTATTGTAGGACAACTTTATGATACATTTGTGGTGCTTTTATGTCAATTTCTGTGTATTTTCATAAATGTTACAAGGCTAAATAACTACTTTGTGGGTATTTACTATCATGTTGTTGAACACCCCATGATGTGGTGTAATATTTGCAGAGCTGTACAGAGATGGTAATGCCAATCTGCACAGACGGCGTCGCTGACATGTTTGAGCCACAGCCATGGAACTTCCAGGCTTTCTCCGACGAGTGCTACAACCAGTTTAGAGTGCGGCCACGGGAAGACTGGGCAGAAATTGTGTACGGTGGGAGAAACATAAGTGCTCACAGCAACATCATCTTCAGGTAGGACCTTTTGTGTTTGTATAATATAAAGCACTGCCTTAATTTTTCCACTTCATACCATAATTAAGGTTTAGATATTGGTTCTGTTCCAAAAGTCTTGCGGTCTAGTGCCGATATAGGTAGCTATTTTTTCTAAGGCAACATCTTATATAGGTATAGCCTTCTCAACAAAGCATAGCCTACATTAGATGGTGCCTCAAAATGTGGGCATCACAAGGTATTTTAGAAAGTTTTGAACAACTTTCCTGTTAGGTGTCTATGCCAGCTTATAAGGTTTTATAAGTAGGCAGCTTCCTGGGTTTTAGAACTGAGCTAACAGAGATTTTTTATACTATAATTGAAACGTTCCATTTATATGTTCTAGTTGGGGTAGATGTACTGCATTTAGTGATACTATGAGACCTAAATGTGTGTCGTCTTTTTCAGTAATGGAAATCTTGATCCATGGATGAGCGGTGGAGTGACCAGAAGTCTTTCAGAATCTCTGGTTGCCATTATGATCGATGGAGGTGCTCACCACCTCGATCTGCGCTACAACAGCGAGTTTGACCCAGAGTCAGTTATCAAAACACGGGCGCTAGAAGTACGCTACTTCAAGCAGTGGATCAAACAGGCAGCAACTACCCAATGATATGGAATCAAGATCACTGAAATGAAACAAAGACAGTAAGAGAAACAAAATGAACTATGTCTGTTTGCTATGTGCCAAAGTTAGTGGTTTCTTCCTTGGTACTTAACTGAAAAAAAGCTTTTTTGGGGTCATGGTTGTTTTAGGGTTTTTTGGTGCAAAACAAGAATGTTCAGTAGGTTTTTCTAAGAAAATTGAGGAACTGAAAGTGACAGAAAACACCAAATGCAAAACCACTCAGGAGAAGTGTCCTTTGCCAAAGTCTCAATGTTTAATTGTAGCTATAAAAATCATACGTTCACAGCTATGGTTTTTAACTAAAGTATGCTACATTTTAAAGGGGATAGTTCACCAGAAATTAAAATTCTCTCATTTATTTACCTTCATTTTCTTTTAAACTTACCTGATTTTTTTTTCTTCCATGGAAAAAAAAAGTCCATATGACTTGTGTACCATATTTGCTGTTCTGCATTTTTCTAATGTTATGTGTTGTGATTGGTTACTAGACATGCAAGAACCATCTTAGCATTTCAAAACCACAGTAAAGCGGTGAAAGCAAATTTATATTTTGATATGTTTTCAATTTTTTTCAAAGTAGAATTTTTTACTATTCCTTTTATTTAATTGAAACACATTTTAGGAAAAAAAATTATACTACTTAGAACTCAACCAGTTTGAAATAGTCACTGAAATGAGCTGGATCTAATATCAGTGATTATGTTATTTTCATTGTCTATACATAATCACCACAAGTCTTCAGTTTTCTGAACTGTGTACTATTTTGCACACTTTTTTTTAATGGAAATAATGATGAATGAATAACAGAATAAATGCACATGAATGGAAGCAACTGTACATGTCCCATTTCCTGTTACTCCTCCATTGCTGCTCCAGTGTGATTTAATGAAAACCTAAAGACAGACAATGAGCAATAAAGTTGCTAGCGGGAGGCACGCGGTGTAAAACACAGAGATTGTGCCCCATGCGGGGACCTGCAGGACTCCACCAGACCTGCATTCACTTACTGGCAGCTCCTGCTTCTCTAAATTGCGGTACGTAGACATCATGTGTTCTGTGCTGAGCTGCCTCCTGCTAATATTATTATTAATATCACAGCCAGAGTGCAGAGCAGGTTGTTTTGTGGGGTTGGGGAAGGTCAGGAGGAGGAATAGATGAGTGTGAGGTGATGGATGATGATTTTCACTTTGTTGTTCCCTGAAATATGATCAGTTCAGTGTTTTGTGTTCATTTCCTGTTGTCTGGTTATTTTCCATGTAGTCTGAAAGTATCTTTAAAGGTAAAGTGTGTTATTTCTGTGCCACTTGTTATCGAACAGAATTAGCAAAAAGAGTGATTGTTTTCAAACATATTTCTCGAAAACTCCTCTCATCTGCCATTGGTCAGATAAATAGATAGTCCTGACCCAAACTTACACCATTGGCTGAACCACTGTTGCTACGTCAGTCTAGTCAGGAGGCTTAAACAATGAAAAGTTTTAATAGTGCTACAAAGCCAGTATTTACACTTTTTGGGGGGATTCAGCGTCTTGTTGTTAGGAGAAAGTATTTTAATCCTGAAACAATTAAGGCCTTGATATACTAAAAACAATACTAACAAAGTTGTTATTCATTCTTCATTCATGGACAAAAAGAAGTTAGCTGAGCAACAGTATACTGTATTTGAACATTACAACACCGCCCAGCTCGTGTTTACATGGGTGTTTTAATATGTGATGCGATGATCTCAATAACAGGAATTCCAAGCCATTTCTGAACATTTAAAATTATCATTAAAGGTGGGGTAAGTGATTTCTGGTAGCTAATGTTGATATTTCAAATCACCAAAACAAACATGCCCCTACCCCAAAAGGGTCTCGCCCCTATTTTGATAGCTCCGCCCCACACACGTACGCAACCCAGGCAATGATTATGGCGGAATCTGCTGTATTATTATCTGCTGTATTAAACATATTATCTTACTTTTCGGACACACTTTGGGAGCTGATGCCTGAAACAGACAGTGGAGGAGGTTTAGACGCTCCAGGCTAACGCCCCTTACTGCTGATTGGCTACAAGTTTGTTTTGGTATTTGGCCCGACTCGAGCGTTTTTGAAAAAATACATACCCCACCTTTAACCAGAAATTGCAGCCAAATATTTATCTCTCTCTCTCTCTATTATGAGTTATATCCAAGTGAAAGGATTTCTCAAACAAGAAAACATCTTGGGGCAGGACTTGATTTTGACCATCAGGAATTGATTTGGTCATTATCATTCCCTTATAATTAAAGATTATACATGAATTATAAATTAATTTATAATAAATACTACAATATTCCATAAAAAATACGAATTTTCATTTTGGATTTCATGTTGACTCTAAAGCATGTACGCAAGCGACTATAGAGGTGCAGATACATTTGAAGAGTTCATTTGCAAAAACAGATAACTCAGTTTTTAACTATTTTCAAAAAGCATGTTTTTTCATTGTGCATTCCAATTAATCTCTTGTTTTGGTATTTGGCCCGACTCGAGCGTTTTTGAAAAAATACATACCCCACCTTTAACCAGAAATTGCAGCCAAATATTTATCTCTCTCTCTCTCTATTATGAGTTATATCCAAGTGAAAGGATTTCTCAAACAAGAAAACATCTTGGGGCAGGACTTGATTTTGACCATCAGGAATTGATTTGGTCATTATCATTCCCGTATAATTAAAGATTATACATGAATTATAAATTAATTTATAATAAATACTACAATATTCCATAAAAAATACGAATTTTCATTTTGGATTTCATGTTGACTCTAAAGCATGTACGCAAGCGACTATAGAGGTGCAGATACATTTGAAGAGTTCATTTGCAAAAACAGATAACTCAGTTTTTAACAATTTTCAAAAAGCATGTTTATTCATTGTGCATTCCAATTAATCTCTATCAAACTGCAGTTGGGTTATTTTGATTAAGGTAAAAAATAACTAAAAAATACAGCTAACTAACACAATAAAAACATGATAACATAATAAAAACCATGATTTTTGAAAATTTTAAATAACGGAGTTATCTGTTTTTGCAAATAAACTCTCATTTGTATCAGCTCTGCAACACGGTACTCTAGTGTATACATGTTGTCTGACATCAGTGGAACTAGTGATCTGAAGAAGATTCTTATGTCAAAGTAGGCGGAGCCCCAGAACACACCCACCTGTTCTGTAATCATCATGGATAAATGTTAGTTTGAAGGTGTTTACCAACCAGTGCAAAGTTTTTGCTAGGAAGCTGTATAGAACCACCAAAACAAACTTCACAAAACATCGTTTTTTCCAGGTTTTCTTTGAAATGATTTCACACCCGTTTTCAATTTCACTAGGTTTGATTTCATTGCAACGGGTCCTGTAACATTCTGTGTCGATGGCCACACATAAGTACGTTAAATTCTCCGTGTTGCCACAAGGGGCTCTAACAGATATTAAAGTTAAGGGCCTCTTTCTATGGTCAGTGTTCTCTTTTAGGTTAACTATGTGATACCGGAGAATAGAGATTTTAAAGAGAATCAAGTTAGTTCAATTGAGCAAGTTCAATTGTGTTTATAGCTAACTTGATTAAATATATTTATATCTACACGAATAATAACATATCCTTTAATGTGAGGAAACTCTATCACCCCCTTGAGAACTGATGTTTGTTATTGCCACAGTAACATAGTAAATACGGTTTTCCTTGTGTTTGTGATTCATGAATAAGTTCCACAACACAAGGGTTTGGTTTGGACATCTGACATGTAAAGTGAAAAGTGTCCCAAGATGACTGGATACTTTGTCAAAAGTGGAATATTTCAACTAAATGTTCTCACCTATGGATTAGTTTGGAAAGCAACATGAGTATCTGTGCTTGCAATGCATTGCCAAGTACTTGCATTGAGTATGTTTCTGGAACATCCAGAATGTTTCAGCCCCAGTAAATGCTTATGTAGATTACTACATGCTTATAATGCTTATAGTAGAATTACTACATTTGTACAATTACAAGTTGAAACAACATCTTTAGTTTCCATTCTGAATAGCTTCTGATTAATTCCAACATACAAATGTAGACAGACATCAAGGGTAATTGGTGGGGGGTTTCAACACTTTTGGACATTTCTCAGGACCGTGTTGTTGCCATTAATTTAACATCCTTTCTTCTCACCTGACAGTTTCATCAATCAAATATGTTAGTAGTATTTCGCTGACTGAGAGTCTTTAGTGTTGCATGTGTTGATGGTTACACTGAGACCACACACCAGTGGGAAAAGATGTGTGTGTGTAACCCATTGCTGTTCTGGAGAGCATGGAAAGGGTGTCTGGGGGGCAGGGAATCCAAGGAAAATGGGGTATAAAAAAGCGTGGGTGCTGAGTTTGTAAATTCCCTGGGTGGAGGGCGGGGTGCGCTGTGTGTAACGATAACCAAACAATACTCACTTTCAATGGTCCATTTGCTTAAGCAGCTTTCCATGGACGTGAATTGAAAGCGGAAAGATGAATGTTGTTCCCTCGGCCGTCTCATTTGTTCTTTCCCCTGCTGAGTTTGTTCAACTTAGTTTGACCTTGTTGACTGCTTTTTCTTCTTTATAATTTGTTTTCCACAAGTGTTTTCTCCTGGAAATTTACATTTCTACTCCTGCAAGGACCAAATCATCTTACGCTGTAGGCAAATATGTATTTGGGGACAATGACAAATTAAAGATGTCCAAGATGATAAAAAGGAAAACTATTTATAAAATCTAATTTAAGTTAGATATTGTTTAATGTAATATCTTTTTCCTTGTTGATTTTGAAAAAAGAAAAATGTTGATACCATTTCAGCAAAGACATTTATTTAATAATGTTAAAAATGTCAGTTGGTGTAACCATTAAGAAAGCTGGATTATATTTTCCGTATATCTTGGCTACATACATGTACAATCTTAATATTCTTAATGTACATAATCCTAATTTATATGTATATATCTTGGATAGTTTGCCTGGAAATACACAATACTGTCATTATTTCTCACCCTTGTCTCATTCAATAACACTGACCATGGGTTGTCAATCTCCAAAAAGGAGAAAAAAAGCACAATAAAAACTCCCAAAATGTATGTTTTTTTAAACCGTATGATAGCTTTCTGAACAAAGTAAACCAGTACTAGCACAGAGTAAAACATAATTTACTACATATTCAGGATTACACAGATACTGGCAATCTCCTTTTATTATTTCATGTGCAAAAATGAAGTGTTAAAAATATACTTTCAACCTCATGGGTTGGACTGACCAGTATAACGTGCACTTTTGCAAGTGTTTAGGAATCCCCCAGTCCATTTTCTTTAATGTCACGCAATTCTTTTTTTCTTTTTTT